GGGGGGCCACGAGGGGGTGCGGAAAGACGCTCTCCCGCCCCGCCGGCCGCTCCCGGCAGGTGAAGGTGACAGCCGTGCCGGCGTCTGCCTTCATCTCCCGCGAGAAGCCATCGGAGGTGCCGTCAAAGCAGCGGCCGATGGCGATCTCCTTAGCCAGCCGGGGGTTCTGGTCCGTCACCGTGTAGATGCCATAGTTGTGACCCAACGGGTCGACTGGCGCCAGCATGGTGAAGGCGGCCGTGTGGTTGTTCTCCGCCACGGGCGGGTGACGGCTCAGGTACTCCCGGAGGAGGCTGTTGATGGCTGTGCGGTGGCAGCTGCCTTGGGGGACGATGGAGACCAAGGTGCGATCCACCAGGCTCTGGTCGAAGAGCATCCCGCTGCACTTGAACTCCACACAGGCGCCCGAGGTGTTCTCCAGCAGCGTGTCCCGCACGCTACGGGTGTCACGCAGCCCGTAGAGCTGCCCCCGGGTACGGGGGTGGCTGCCCCCCACATTACGGGACCTCACCATGTACTCCTGCGGCCCCTCGATCTGCACCTTGATGAAACAAGCCCTGAACTCCTGAGGGTTGGGCCACCATGAGAGGTAGTCACCGGTCCAGGAGGTCAGGTCACTCTCCTTGAAGGGCACCACGTTGTACTCGTACTTGTCCACCTCCACGCGGTAGAAGCGGAGGTGGTTGGCGCTGACCGGCGCCTCCTCGCACTCCTCGAGGCTGCGGTAAGGGTAGATGGGACCATTGGTCTCATCAACATTGTTGGGGTCGGGCTTGGCCACGTTGATTTGGAAAGCTGTCTTCTTCAAGTTGGGGTCATCGTGGTCCAACCGGCGGTAGCCCAGCTTGCCCAGGTAGGGCTGGGACACGCCGATGGCGTTGGGGTTGAGCTTGGGGCTGGAGGCCACGGCTTCCAGCTCCTCCCCGCCCAGCGTGGCGGTGACGTACGCTGAGTAGGCATCGGGGCGCTGGCCATCGCAGAAAGCGGGCAGGCAGGCACCGTTGGGACCCGTCACCACGCTGTCGAAGCGACCCCATGCCCGGGGGTTGGCAGGATAGCCGGGCTGGGGCTCCAGGTTGATGAGGCTGATGACCACCCCTTCTAGTTGTTCGTAGGGGTTGAACTTCTCGTTGCTGTAAGCCCTGACCTTGACGAAGCACCGGCGGTCCTCCGGCACGTCCAGGTTGAAGAGACGCCGCTCCCGGATCTCCAGGTTCCCCACCAGGAAAGTCCTCTCCTCCCTCTTCCCCCGGTTCCCCCTGGCTGGCCGGAGGACCCCCTCCTCCTCCCACAAGCCAGTTTCGGGGTTCAAGGACCACAGCTTCATCTTCTGCAGGTGCTCCGGCATCTGGACCTGCCCCGCGTCCATCCGCACCTCCACCGGCCCCGTCTGCAGTGCCGCGCCAGTCTCCCCTTCCCGAAAATCCACGGCGAACATGCCGTAGGTCCGCAGGGGAACGATCTCCCCCTCGGCATTGGTGAAGCTGAGGTCGCTGGAGGCGGCGCTGGCTGTTGCCATGTCCCTGGGGTCCAGAAAGGTGACGCTGGCTTTGACAATGCCCTTGAAGACCTCCCCGGAGGGACGGAGGAAGGCGCCAGCGGGAAGGACGAGCTCCCCCACGGGCTCCTGGCCGCTCAACTCCCCCAGCGGGATGGCATTGCTCTGGCTGCCGTCCAGGTCCACCGGCTCCTTCTTCCGCAGCATCTTGACCTCCTGGTAGACGGCACCACCGCGGCGGTTGAAGGGCAGGACCTTGACGGCATCCACGAACCTCTGCTGCCGGTCCACGAAGCGAGCCACCAAGCGCTGCGTGTCCGGCGGCACCTCGATGGTGAAGGAGCCCTTGTAGCCAGTGAAGCCGACCTTCCTCCCCCCCAGGAAGATCTGCCCGAAGCGCAGGGGCTCGCCGGTGTCGGCCGCTGTCACCCGTCCCTGCACCAGGACGCGGGGCTGGGCGCAGGGCCCGCAACCGCACTCAGCCACCACCTTGACGGGCAGCAGGGAGCCGGCACAGGGGATCTCCCGCATCTCCATCCTCCGCACCCCGCAGCAGCGCCCCGCGTCTGCCCCGCACTCCGACTGGTCGGCCGGGCTGTCGGCACACGGGGCGGGCGGGCAGCGACCCACGTTGTAGTAGCGGGAGCCGGTGGCATCCTGTGGGCACTCACTGGGCAGCTCCACGAGGCTTGGCTCAGGCTCCAGCTTGCAGCTCTGCTGGCCCTGGGCTGGGGGGGGGACAGTGGGGACAGGGGGGTTAGGGTGACCCTCCCCACCGCATCCCCCATCCTAGGATGATGCTGCCGCTAACGAAGCCCAGCCCGTTCTCACCCAGGACGGTGAGCTGTGCTGGCGCCGATTTGATGGCACCCGCCTCGGTGCTGGCTTTGCAGTGGTAGGTGCCAGCCTGCTCCGGCGCCAGCCCCCGCAGCACCAGGCGGCTGCCATACCGGTGCACCTTCCTGTCCAGCAGCGTCCCATTGTGGTACCTGCCGGGACGGTTATGGGCTCAGCGGGGACACGGCTGGGGCTGCCTTTCCCCGCCGTCCCCAGTCCCGGCTTTCTGCCGCCCGGACCCCGCTCACCAGTAGTACTTCTTGGGCACGGGGGTGCCCGAGGCTTTGCAGCAGAAGGTCACCTCCTGCCCGGCCACCCGCACCTTCGTCTTGGGGTGCAGCACCATGTAGGGCTTCTCTGCAGGGAAGGAAGGCGGCAGAGGGTGCAACGAGCCGCGGCCGCCCCCCCACCCCGGATCACTCCCTCCCACCATGCATCCTTCGGGGAGGTACCTCGAGGGGTGCACGACTCGGCCCCCGCCCCGCGCCGCGACGCTCACCCAGCCGCTGCCGCACCACGTGGGCCACCGCCACGCCGGAGCCGTTGGAGATGATGGGTGCCAGTCCCGGGGCGTAGCCCTCACGGTGGGCGCTGACGTTGGCGGCGGTGCCCTCGC